AGTGCAGGGGGGAGGGGAGGACGGAACCAGAGGAGAGAGGTAAGTGCAGGGGGGAGGGGAGGACGGAACCAGAGGAGAGAGGTGAGTGCAGGGGGGAGGGGAGGACGGAACCAGAGGAGAGAGGTAAGTGCAGGGGGGAGGGGAGGACGGAACCAGAGGAGAGAGGTAAGTGCAGGGGGGAGGGGAGGAGGCTGCACACTGTTTACATGTGATGTCAGCGACATCGCCGAGATGACATGTAAACGAACAATCGGCTTCCCTCACTCTACATTTAGCTCGGCATGTACAAAGCAGGACTGAATGTAGAGAGGGCAACTTCCCCACAAGGACACCGCTGCCGCCCCTCTGCGCCCTGCTACCCCGAGGCCGGGCCTCAGTGGCCTTGTGGGGAATCCGGGCCTGTCTGTGTCTCCTCCGATCCCCGCTGCTGTCCCCCGCCTGTGTCGGCAGAGACAGCGGGGGTCGGAGGGGACACAGATGGGTGCACAGGAGAGAAAATGTCAGGAGGCCGAGCAGGGCAGTGCGGGGAGCAAAGAGCTGTCACAGGAGGCCGAGCAGGGAGGTGCGGGAAGGAGAGAGTTGTCAGCTGTCACAGGAGGCAAAGCGGGGCGGTGCGGGGAGGAGAGAGCTGTCAGCTGTCACAGGAGGCAAAGCGGGGCAGTGCGGGGACGAGAGAGCTGTCATGGGAGGCAGAGTGGGGCAGGGCGGGGATGAGAGAGCTGTCAGCTGTCACAGGAGGCTGATCGGGGCGGTGCGGGGAGGAGAGAGCCGTCAGCTGTCACAGGAGGCCAAGCAGGGAGGTGCGGGAAGGAGAGAGCTGTCAGCTGTCACAGGAGGCCAAGCTGGGTGGGGAGGAGAGAGCTGTCAGCTGTCACGGGAGGCGGAGCGGGGAGGTGGGGGAGGAGAGCTCAGCCTCTTGTGACAGCTGACAACTCTCTCCTCCCCGCACTGCCCCGCTCGGCCTCCTGTGACAGCTGACAGCTCTCTCCTCCCCGCCCAGCTCGGCCTCCTGTGACAGCTGACAGCTCTCTCCTCCCTGAACTGCCCACTCGGCCTCCTGTGACAGCTGACGGCTCTCTCCTCCCTGGCAGGCGAGTGAGGATGGAGAGCGGAGCACAAACACTCAGCGATCAGTACTGATCACTGAGTGTTTGTTACTAACTTAGGACATAGTGTGCTTACTATGGCCCCAGTTATGAACAGGAAGTGCTCTACATCACTTCCTGTTCATTCATGATTGAGGACATAGTAACTCATACTATCTCCTCAGTATATGAATGGACGGGAGTACTCAGTACAGAGGCTTCCTGCTCATTCATAACAGGGGCTGCAGAAAAAAAAGAGGTTTAGGACTCTGTGTCCTCTGTTTAGACCCCCTGATATTTCTCCAGAGCCCCCCGACAGGAAATAAATATGAAATCATTTTTGACATTTAAGGTTGGAAAGAAATGTCATTTTCGGGTTCCAGCCTCACAAATTCTTTTTGTTTCAGTTCTGGTCTAGAAATTACATTTCGGTGCATCAGTAATTATTATTGTTATTAAGTATCGATTTTAGGAGAATTGATTTGTCATAATAAAGATCCTTTGTTGTTATCTAAGAAGGCGTTTTGTACCTGAAAGGTCCGATATGGGTTTTTGGAGGTTTGGCCTCCTCGGGGTGATGTTGAGGTCGGTCCTCCCAGTTCTGGGCGCTGCGCTCTGATACATAAATGTGTCTTTTCTTTTATGTTTGTATGAAAATCACCAGCGAGGGAAACGAGGAACAATTACACCGCAAATGAGAGAAAAGACGAATCCCGCTCAGCATTCAGCGGATCCTATTTTTAGGGCTCGGCCGTCTTAAAATAGCAAATTTTATTTTCCATAAACAGCCGAGAGGAGAGGAGAGGCCGCGGCTTCAAAAGTGGAGGTTATTCTCCAGACCGGTGTGTGTCTTCTACTGCAGACGTCACAGCTTCTAAATCTGACCTCCGTCCTCCCCTTCAGTCTTATATCTGACCTCCGTCCTTCCCTCCAGTCTTCTATCTGACCTCCGTCCTTCCCTTCAGTCTTCTATCTGACCTCCGTCCTTCCCTTCAGTCTTCTATCTGACCTCCGTCCTTCCCTTCAGTCTTATATCTGACCTCCGTCCTTCCATTCAGTCTCCTATCTGACATCCGTCCT